TTTTTCAAAACAAGTTCAGTTAATTTTTAAGAAATGTCAAAAACTAACAAATTAAAAAAAAAATAATAATACATATATTATTAATTTTATTATTTGAATTTAATTTAAAAGAAAAATCGAATCTATTTGAAAAATCTAAACTCCTTTATTTAATTTTTATTATGCTCCTTCTTTTACTTATTGCACTTACATCAGCTCTTCAATGCAACGAATTATTAGCAAATAAAATGTATAGTGTTAGTGATGCTTTTGAATGTATTGAGTCAGTTAAAATTAATAATACATTTACACAGTATGTTCAAAAAACCCTTCAAGTTTTATTTGAGACATATGTTTATAAAGATATTTTAAAATCACCACCACAACCTTCATTTAATAAAGAGTTTTATACAACAGTTGATATTGATGAACGACTTAAAAACCTTTCATTAGAAGAGACGTCTTTATATAAATTTATGCAAGAGATTCAATCGATAGTAAATGATGCTCATGACTATCACCTTTCATTTAGACTATCATCTAATAAAGACAACCATTATTATTATGATTTTATGTATGCTGTATTACCATTTATACCAGATATTGTTGATAATGAAGTTGTTCTTTATAAAAATCCAAATTATGAAACATTTGACTCTCAAATTCCACAAACTATTATTGACAATGTTAATATTCCTGTTACAAGTATCAATGATATGTCTCCAATTGACTTTATTAAAAAATTTGCTTCTGAACAAACATTTCTTAAAACACCTCATGGCAGATTTACTTATGCATTAGAGACAATGAGTTTTATTGAATTGAGAAGAACTGTAATGGATAAAAGTGTTTTAGAAGAACCAATCAAAATTACTTATTCTAATAATCAAACAGTAACTATCAATTATAGTATTCTTTATATTCCCTTAGAAACATTAAGTAAAGAAAAACAAAAAAGAATTAATGCAAAAAGAAATGGTTACAATGATGCTATTATAACTATTGATGATTTTGTTGATAATCCAATGAGAAATAGTCCAGGATTGTATGACTATCAATCATTAGATGGTAACTTGGCTTGTAAAATTGATAACGATATGATGATGAATGTTATGATATTAAAAACATTCTATCCTGTTGAAGAAGTTATGAATTTTGGTGAAGTTATGAATACTTGTATTAGTTCATTTGATAACAATGAATATCCAATTACTATAATTCTTCCAATGAATGGAGGAGGGTCTGGTGATCTTGTTTCAAGTGTACAAGATACATTTGCCCCACAAGGAGATTCTGATATGATTGGGTCAGTGAGGATTTCAAAAGGAACAGAAGGATGTATCAAATATGGATATGGTAGTTATCTTCAAAACCCAGAAAATTGCCAAGAAAGATTTAACAGTTCTGATCCTAACTCAAATGAATTAGGAGAGTGGTATACCTCACCAAAAATCACTCATTATGGAACAGCAGAACATAAACATACTCAAGAATCAATTCTTCGTTCAATGGATTTAATTAAAAATACATTAGAAAAACATCCAAGAGACCCAACAGATATTATTATTATGACTGATGGATTTTGTTATTCTGCATGTAGTGTATTAACAAAAGCAATGGTAGAACAAGGTAATGCTATTGTTGTTGGTTATGAAGGAGATCCAAATGGAAAAATTGAAGAATTTGATGCAGGTAATTCACCAACAGCAGTTGTAACACAAAATGAACTTCAGATTCCTGAAGCTGATAATTTAAAAAGTATTAATGGTGAAATGAGAATTTCATTTATAGAAACATTTGCTTGGGACTATTCATTTAATCAAACAATTCCAAGAGAATTTTTAATTCATCCAGTTGATGAAAGAATTAACTTATATAAATTCTTTGATAATAAACTTGGACAATTTATAGCCAAAGCAAAAGACATTCATGCTAAGTATCAAAATGAATGTAATCCAAATAATAAAAGATTAGTTAAATATTCAAAAGAATGTGACGAACAAATATCTATGGAACATGCACATGGAGGATTTAAATGTGGTGATGATGGTAAATGGAGTAATCAATGTGTTGCTGCTTATTGTGACAAGGGATATAAATTTGATTTTTATAACCAAAAATGTATTGTTGATACCTGTGAGGCTAAGGATGAATCTACTGACTCTTCTCAACAGCCAGAATCAGAATCATCAGAGGATAGTTCTTCTCAACAACCAGAACCACAACCACCAGAAGAAAGTTCTTCTCAACAAACTTCCTCTTCTTCAAGTAGCTCAACAAATGATAAAACTATGTTCTACATTATTATTGGATGTTCTGTTGGAGGGGTATTGATTTTAACATTATTAATTGTTATTGTGGTAGTTTCAGTCATTATTTACAGAAAACGTCATTCTAGTTCTGATTACACATTAATTCAATAATTTTTTTCTTTATTTAAACAAAATTATTTTAATTAAAAGAACACTTTTATTTAAAAAGTATATGATTTACTAAATAGTTGTAAATAATTAATATCATAATAAAATTAATTATTTGTTATTTTCATTACCCTTCATTTATACTTAAAAACAAAAAAAAAATAAATAAAGGAATAAAACACTAAAATAATTGACTTATTTATCTAAATTAATAAATTATTGAATTTATTATTATCAAATATACTATTAATTTATTATATTATAGTATTTGTTTAGTAAGATAATTTGAAAATTTAATAAACTAAATAATATTTAATATAAAACTTATTATTAGAAATAGTTATTTTAATAAAATGAAGAATTACAATTTCTAATGAAACGGTAAAATTTGAATTTAATATATCTAAATTGAAAATATTAACACAAAAAAGAACTTAAAAAAAAGTAATTTTTTTCAAAAGTACTATTTTTAATTTATTAGAACTCTTCTTATTAATTTTAAAGAAAATTAATAAAATACTAAAAATTGAACGTTGAATGTGAGTTAATAAATTTTATTTCTTTCCTTTCTTTCCAGCACTTCTTTTTGCAGTTTGTCTTTTTGGTGCACTTCTTTTTGGTGCACTTTTCTTTGGTACACTTCTTTTTGATGCTTTAGGTTTTGAACTTCCTGATGATTTTCCTTTTCCGAAACTACCACCACTTCCACCGTGTTTTCTTGATTTATTGCCTTTTGTATCACTGAGTTTTTTACTAAATTGACTTACTTTTTTTGCAGTTTTAGAAACTCCACTTGCTCCTTTTTGTATAGCAGAAGCAAATTTTCCAAATTTTCCTTCTTTTCCAGCAAATTTACCAGCAAACTTAGCTACTTTATCTGCTGTTTTTCCAAGTTTATCAGAAAACTTTCCAACTTTTTTAGCAGCATTACCAACAGTGTTCATTACTTTATTAGTTTTTGTTTGAACTTTTCTACTTATTGCTTGTCCTTTATCAAGTCCCTTATTTACTTTAGTTTGAACTTCTTTCACTGTTTTTTGAGTTTTATCAATCATATTATTTGCTTTCTTTTGAGCAGCAGCAACTTTACTTTGAGCACTATCAACAACTTTATTAGTTTTCTTTTGGAAATCATCCATCTTTTTAGCAGCATCTTTATTAAAAATACCAACAACTCCTTTTCCAACATTCATAACTTTATTAAATCCACTTTGAAGTTTATCAGTAACTTTTTGTCCTTTATTAATAAAATTATTAACACTCTTTTGAGCTTTATCAATTCTTTGATTAGCTTTATTAATAAAATCATTTCCTTTCTTCTGGTAATAATCAATTTTATCGTTCACTTTATTAACAACATTATTAAATTTCTCTTGAATTCCTCCAAGAGACCAATCCTCTTCCATATCAACAAACTCATCAAGATAATCAAGATAATCATCAAATGCTAACAAGTCTTCTTCATCATATGTAAAGGCAGAGCATACACAAGAGAGGGCTATTAAAACAAAAAGCATAATAATATAATTTTCCTAGGTTATTACAAACCTCTTTTTATATAACCTTATTTAAACTTTACTCAGGTATGAACCATTCTACAGAATGTTATTTTTATCTTATCCGCACATGTAGAACTTCTATATCTGACTTCTTTTTGTGATATTTTCATTTTATAATTTTTTTTTTTGGTTTATTATTTCCTTTCAATAAACAACTTATTGTAGTTTTTTCTTATTGTAAGAAATTTATTATTATACATTAAAGTTAGAATATTTATTTTTAAATTATATTATATTATTATTATTATTAAAATTGTAATTAAAAGAGACTTTCTGAAAAATTTGTTCAATAAAAATTTATCATCACCTTTTTCAGGTTTTGGGATGTTATTGTTCAACACTTTATTTTCTTGACTTTAGGGAATAATATTTTCTTTTGTAATAATTTGTTATTCTTTTTATTAGTTTTACAATTGTTCAATAAGATTATCATTATTATTTGTTTTAAGTGTTTTTAAGACATAAAAACTTCTCTTTTTATTTATTTTAATCTTTATGTGTTGATAAACATTAGAAATATTGTTTAAGTTAATGTTTTTTTCTTATTAAATAGAGTAAAAGAGTATCTAGAGAACGACATAATTTTTCTTGGTAATATTGCATTAGTAATAGTAATACAAATGATTTATTAAGTGTATTAATGACTTTAAATTCAATTAATTGAAGTAGAAGACGAGATAAACATAGACAAAGTAAAATCACAAAAGAAAAAAAAAGGATTTATGTTTTATATTTCAAAAACAAAAAAAATTGTTTAAATGAATAACAAAATAAAATAAACTTATAAATATAATGAAGTCTAAATTAATAGGAACACACGATGGTCTTTTTCATTGTGACGAACTTACTTCATGTGTTATTCTGTTACTTACAAAAGAATTTATGGGAAGTAAAATTAGAAGAACAAGAGATAATGAAAAATTAAAAGAATGTGATGTAGTTGTTGATGTTGGAAAAGAATTTAATGTAGAACGTCATTTATTTGACCATCATCAACAAGGATTTGATGAACGATGGGAAGGATCACCTACATTATTTTCATCAGCAGGATTAATATATAAATATTATGGACGTGAAATTATAATAAAATTATGTAAAGGACCACATACGACATTTGAAGATGAAGAAGAGATCAAATGGTTTATGGATAAGTGGTATTTTTTTTATTTTGTTTCAATTGATGCTGAAGATAATGGATGTCCAAGAGGACAAAAACAAAATTATATTGAAGGGATAGGTTCATTAAAAAATGTTATTGGTAATTTAAATGATTTACGAGGAGGATTTGAAATTGGACTTACAATATGTAAATTAGAATTAGTTAAATCATTTTATAGATTATTATTAAATTGGAGACCAACAGTAAAAAAATATCCTGCAACATATTTTAAAGAAGAAATTGTTTTTATTGATGACCAAAAAGCTGATTGGGTAAGTTTATGTGAAATGGCATCATTAAATAAAAGTACATTAGTAATTGTAAAAAAAGAAAATAATAAATTTATTGGAAGAATTGTAAATGATAGATTAAATCCTACCTTTTCTTGGCCTAAAGAATGGAGAGGAATGTATGGATATGAACTAAAAAAGATTATTGGAAATGGAGTTATTTGTTGTGATAGAACAGGAACTGAAATTGTTTGTGAAGATTTAAAAACAGTAGAAAATGCATTATCTATCGCAAAAAAGACTCAAAAATAATTGAATTAAAACAGTTTAAAGTTTTTTTGTTATTTAAAGAATATTCTATTAATGGAATTTATCGCAAATTTTTTGTTTTTCAATTTTTTAATAAAATATTTTATTAAAATATTTTAAAGTTGGGGGTTAGTCTGGAGATTATTTTTGTTGTATAAACTTCTTCAAATCATGTAACCATTTTTAAGTATCTATTTTAAAAAGAAAGGAAAATGAAAAGTAGTTAAATGTTCTAATAATTTTAGAGCATCTAGAATTAGTTTGTTTTATTAACATGTCACAAAAAGTTACTATCACTGTTGAAGAGTATATCCAGATGTTAATTAATGAAAAAGAATTAAAGGTATTAAAAGATGAAACTATTCATCTTCTAAATGAAAAAGAAATAAATAAAATATTAATTAAAGAAATGGAGATGAAAAATAATAGTCTCAGTGAAGTGGTTCAACAAGAAATTAAAAAATATGCACAATTAGAATATAAAAAAAGATATTTAGAGAATAAATTAAATCAATTAGAAAATGATAAACAATTAAATGATAAAGAAAAATTAGAAACATTAACTGAAATAAAAACAAATTTAAAAAAACAACCAAACATATTTATTCAACAAGAATATCTACAAGAATATCCATATAATGAAAAAAAATTGAATTTTAAACATTCTATTTTTTCTGAAACAATATCAAAACCAATAAATATAAAGAATACATATTTATTTATGCCAATATTTACTAAAAAAGAAATATCTAATTCATTAGGAAAAGTTACAGAACCAATGACTGATGAAATTTATAAAAAAGTTCTAATTTTTTTAAATGAAATTCCAAAAGATGAGAAGTATAAAATTACTACTAATAAAGTAGTTAAAATTACTCCATTATTTATTTTTGAAGTTCAATATGATTTATTTGTTGAGATATTTAAGTCATTTATTGAAAATAAAAAAGAAGTAGTACTTATTAATAAATATCCAAGTATATCATCGAAAGTTTTATTTCAAGAATATTGTAATCAAGCGGGAATTCATTGTTTAAATTCTACTTATGATGAAAAAGCAAAATGGCAAAGAGTTCATATTGCAAAGTTTAATAAATGTATTATTGCATTAGAAAAACAAAGAAAAAAAGATGGTCTTAATATATTTTTTTCTTTTATTAAACATCGATGTCCTCGTTTCCAGTTTATTGGTTTAGGTAAAATGTAATGTCCATCCTAAAAAAAAGTATATCCTTCTTTTTAATTTGTTATTTCAATAATTTATTTAATTCTTTTTTTGTTGTAATTTCAGTATTTTAGTAATTTTGTATAACAATTACTCTTCTCTTTATTAACCGTTATAAATTGTTATATAATTACTTTATTATTTACATTATTTTTTTGTTTTTAAAAAAAAGTTATTTTATAAATGATACAAAATAGTCTTTGAGAAGTATCTTTAGAGCAAAAAAAAGTATCAAAGAAATAAGAGAATGTTATTATATAAGAAATTTATTTCTCTTCTATCATTAATAAATTCATTATATGAAAAGAATGAAAAACGAATAGATAAAGAACATTAGTTAAAAACATTAACTAATAAAATGAAATTCAGAATAAATCGTTGTTTCGGTATTAATTGAAGTCAAAACAAAGAAAAAATAATATAAAATTTATAACTGTTTGATAATAAGTTTAAAAAGAAATAAAGACAATAATTCTTATGTTATTGTAATAAAACCCAACAATTAAAAAAATGAATTTAATTACTTTTCTTCTTCTGTAATTGGTCTTACATAAGCATCAACAATCATTCCACTTTCTCTGAGAGCTTTTTCAATAGAAACAAGACCAAGTTCCATAACATTTTGTAAGTTAGCAAATTCCAATTTCATTGAAGATTTATGAATTGCAAGTCCAGTTTTACAAAGATCAACTAATCTCATAACCATTGTATATAAATTATCAACATCTTCAGCAGAATATTTATTAATATTTTCTTCACTAAAGAAAGTATTACAAATAGCAAATAAACCACCATTAACATTAGCACAAAGAATACCCATTAATAATCTTTGAAGTTGAGGAATTTTATTAGCGATAGAATTAGGATTTTCAATAATCAAAGCCACTTTTTCAATTTGTTTTTCAATATCATCCATACAAGAAAGAATAGGAGTAAGAATAACTTCTTCTGTAAAAATAATAGGTTCTCTTTCAAGAACAGAAGGGAGGTTTTTCTTTGTTGTCATAATTGTTCTTTTTTTACAAACTTTAGATAATTCATCTAATTTAGCACCGTCAAGAGTAAATGATATTTCACTTGCAAATGTATTTGTTGAAATAAATTTATCAATAATCTTTTTTTCTTCTGTACATGGAGAAACAGAAGATACAAAAATATAATTATCATCTTTATTTAATTGTTCTAAACTAGAAAGGCTTTTTGTTAATAAAATTAATCTTGGTGTTCGTTTATATGAATTTTTCATAAATTCAACAAATTCACCTGATCTTAATGAACTTCTATAAACATACTCAAATAAATTTTGTGTTTTATCATTAGTAGTTACTGAAGCATCACTTTGTTGGTCAAAAATATTTGTAAATGCCTGACCATAAAATGATACTCTATAAAAGAATCCAACATAAGTATTTAATTCAATAATTTGTTGATATAATTCTGTAACACTTGAGTGACATGCAGACAATGCTTTAAAATCATGAGTTGAAGCACAATAAGGAATAATAAAATTAAATAAAGTAATAGCATAATGTTGTAAATTTTGTTTTTTAAATGCATCAGCAGCTTGAATTACCATTTTTAATAAGAATCTTTGATTTAAAAATCTAGAATTATTTAAATAACGAGAATTAAATACATTAAAGAAATCAACAGTAATTTCTTTAAGACAATCAATATTTAAATCAATTTTAATAATATTATTTTTTCTAAGTACATTATAAACTGAATTAATAATATGAACACATGCAACTCCTGCTTCAACAAAATTATCTCTTTTTTCTTGATTAACAATTAATTTCTCATACCATGTAAGATGTAATTCTAAACTTTCTTTATATTTTTCTGCAATAGAAAGATATTTTTCATTAATTAATTCTGCACTTTGTTCTTTAAGCATTTCTCTAAGACTTCTAAGATCATCTAAAATCATTTTAACATATTGTTCTAATAATCCAATTTCATCAATAAATTTTTCTTTAAAAGTTTTAATTGTACTATCTTTTTCTGTTTCTCTTTTAAGACCAATTGATAATGCAAATGTTTCATCTTTCATACTATATTCTTGAATTAATTTTAAATCATTTACTTCACATAATTTTTGAATATCATCATCTCCTTGTGATAATTCTTTTGCTTTTTCTGCAACTGTTAATAATTCTTTAGTTATTTGTCCTTTTTGTATTGCTTTAACAATTACTTTAACATATTTAGAATATTCATTTCTTTTTTCATTTTTACTTCTTTCTTCTTTTTGAATAACTTGAATTCTGCTATAATTTTTAATTAATACTTGTTTCCATGATCCCATATTTGCTGCTCTTCTATATAATTCTCCAAATAATTTTTCTCCAAGTAACGCTTCATCTTGTAAAATAGTTTCTTTATTTATTACTTGATCAAATATTCCTTTCCCTTTTTTTAATGGTGCCATTATTAATCTTATTGATCTATAACTTTCTCTATCTTTTGTATATTTTTCAGTAACATATTGCATTGATTTCTCAATAACTGGAATTTGTTTTATTAATTCTTCAGCTCTTTCAATTATTTTATTTATATCTCCTCCCATTTCATATGTTTTAATTTCATCTACTCCAAGACACCATTCATAAATTTTAATAAGTTCTTCTGCAGAAGCTAATTGTTCATGACTATGTCTTGTAATTTCAATATGACTTTTTTCATATTCAACAATACTCTTTTGTAATTCAATTAATTGATTAAAAAGATTAATTGTTTTTGGTAAAATTGTTTCCCATTGTTTATATAATACTTCCCATACATTAATTCCATTTTTTCTTTCATCTTCTTTTCTCATTTGTTCTTTTTTTTCTTTAATAACTTTTTCTAATACACTAAGTCCATTACCAATTTCTTCTAAATTTTCAACAACATTCTTATTATTATTATTATTTGATTCATTCTTCTCTTCAAGATGTTCAAATACTTTACAATATTCTTCCCATATTAATGTTCTATCTTTTTGTTGTAATTCTTCAAATTCTTTAGTATTTTTTTGTGTTTGTGTTTTTGCATTAATTTCACTATCTAATGTATCGTTTCTAATTTCATATAATTCAATAACACTATCAACAATTTTTTCTACATCTTCTTGTTTAATAGGAAAATCAACTTGAATTAATCTAAATTTAAAATATGTGTCTTTTATTTCTTTTAATACTTTTTGAAGTTTATTTAAACATTGTTGTTTTATAACAACAAATTCATCTCTTCTTTTTTCTATCATTAATCTTCCCAGAATTGTTTTAATAATATCTAAGAAATCATTTAATTGATAATCAATACATGTTCTTAATACTTCTGCTTTTTCTTCATTTTTAACTCGTATTCCAATTTCATTTTTAATTCTTTCAAGTGTTTCTTCAATATCTGATGTCATATCAATACTCCATCTTTCTTCAAGATAAATAACAACTCTTCTCATTGATCTCCAAATACCTTCATTAATAGACTTTTGATTTTCAATAAGTTTTAATAATTCAATTCTTTTTTCTATTACTTTTCTTCGATAAATATCATATCGATCTTCATTTTGATTAATTTCTTTTTCTTTAACTTTAGTAATAATATCTTCTGCAAAATCTAATGAAATCCATTGTTTTAATTTAGCAATTGATGATTGTACATTACTTTCTTCTTCTGGAAGAAGTTTTCTTGATGCTAATGAACTAGTAATATGAATTTTAACACAATTAACGTTTTCATCTCTTTCAAAATTACTTTTAACAAAAAGATATAATACAGATGTAGCGTTCTTTCTTGTTGATGGTGATGAACTACCACATAATCCAATAATACCATTAATTAAATCATAACAAAATGTTGGGTTTTGAACAAATAAATAATCTGAATTTTCTATTACAATTTTTCTAATAAATGCCATAAAATATTTAAAAAATGTTGGTGCTGAAGTTACTGTAAATGATGAAATTATTAATTTTGTTAATTCATTCATAACTTCATTTCCTGATGATAAAAATCTTTTATTAAAACAATGCATAATTATTTCTAATATAACTAATAATGCACTGTCTACAACATTACTATTACTCATTCCTCTATCTTCAAAGACTGATGAATCATATGATTCTGAAACATCATGAAGATTACTTAATATTGATATATTTGAATTACTTGTTTCTGAACAAATTACATTAAATACAACTTGTCTTGAATCTTTTTGCATTTCATTTATATTTCTAAATAATGGTTCTACATCAAAATTTAAATCTCCAATATATTTTAATGCTACTTGAAGAATTTTTAATAAATTAGCAATACGTTCAGGTGAGTCTTTATTAATTAAATTAGTTAATGTTCTTAAATCCATATTTTTTAAAATCCAGAGTAGATATAAATAAAAATGTCTTATTTCATTTAAATCTATACTTTTTTGTATTTTTTTAGTATTAATAACTCCTTTTGATAATGAATGTGATATTTTTGCTGCTAATTGAAGTGGTGGAGCAGTAAATGATTGTGGAAGAGTTGTAAGTCTAGAAGAAGAATTTTGAGGTGTCATAACGGGAGTAAGAAAAGGTGTATTACTATCATCTTCAGAATCAGTTTGATCAAGAGTATCATCTTCAGAATCAGAATCATCTTTACTAAGATCATCATCTAAATCAATTCTCCAAAATTTAATAATTTGTTCTGCATGAACAATAATATAATCAATAAAAAATACATAAAACTCTGAAATTGCTGCTTTTTCATGTGGTTGTTGATGTCTTGGATCTAAATCTAATTTAACAGCATCTCCAATCATAGAATATAATGCTAATCTACAAACACAATCATTTGTTCTTAACATTTGAAGATATTGTCTTTGAATATATGCTGCTAAAAAATGATGAGAAAATGCAGTAGTATAATAATCACTAATATGAATAACTGATGTAATTCTTGGTGCATTACATTCATAGAAATAAGTAAATTGAGATAAATGTTTTAAAACATCA